GAATGATCTGTCAGAATTTAACTGATTAATAATACAAGGCTTTAATCGGTAAGCTGAAATGTAGGCCTTGTATTTTAAAACTACATTGTTACTGTAATATGAAAAAATAATATTGTTGATGATGTTTCTTTATTTGGCTAGCAGAGCTATAGCCAAGTTAAATCTAAATTTTATCGAAAAAATGTTTTAGGAGGATAGGCCTCCTTGTATTAGTGTAGTGTAGTATCTGTAAAAGTTAACTATGGTCCAAATCACACTGTAGAAATAATCCAATTTGAGACTGCTTTAACTGCTCTGGCTCAATGCTAGGGAATTCTGGGATTTATAGTTTTGTGAGACATTTAGCCTTCTCTATCAGAGAGCTCAGATGCCGCAATAAACCGCAATTCCCAGGATTCCCTACCACTGAGCCAGGGCAGTTAAAGTGGTCTCAAACTGGATTATTTCTGCTGTGTGTTTTGGACCTAGATCTCAATTATATATGCCACCCTACTAGGAATTACAGTGGGCCCTTGGTACCCACTGGAGTTTGGTTCCAGGATCCTCCATGGTTACCAAAATCTGTGGATGCTCAAGTTCCATTAAATACAATGGAATTATATTTAAATTATGTCCCTTGTATAAAATGGCAAAGTCAAGGTTTCCTTTTTGGAATCTATCTATCTATATATTGAATCTTTTCAAGCTTTGAATGGTTGAATCCGTAGGATAAAGAGTCCATGGATATAGAGAGCCGATTGTATTGTGAGTTCAACAGCACTTTGATTTGTGCTTTTTACAAATATAAGGGAAAGATTCAATATCTGCCAGGGATGTGGAATATTTTGCCCTCCAAAGGTTGGAAATTTTTAAAACTCAGATCACCCCTAGTTAATGGTATCAATAATGAGGGATCATGAGAGCTGTAGTCTGACAATATGTTGAGGACCAGATGTCCTCAATCTCTGTTCTAAAATGAGGTCAGTAGGGATGAAATTACTGTTATTGGTAGCTCAAGCTAATAAAGGTAGAGGGGGCATGTGATAAATTAAAGAACTGAAATTGTTTAGAACAGCTTCCCGTCCATTAACATGTGTTTGGAAAGATGTGAACCAATGATAGCAAATGACAGCAAAGCATCAGGAAGAATTCATTAACAACAGTGGCATTCCTTTCTACTGCTGAAAGAAGTTCACCGTACACAGAAAAGCAGAGTGGTCTTCCCCCTTATTACTCAGATGATCATCAAAGGCCTTATGCCCCAATTAGAGTTTGTTCTTCATGAAATAGTCCCAAACATGGATGTATACATTGCTAAGTTCTTCTCTGTTTTTGATACGGGTCCAACAAATATAACTTTGGCTCTTACTAGCCCCATGTTATTTCAACTTGTATAGCCTGAGAGTGTGTGGATGGACATGTCACTGGAGAGGTGAATTAAAATAATTTAATAATAATAATAATAATAATAATGGAAGAGAAGAAACCAGAAAATGGTGTGGACATGGTGGGTTAAGAGGGTGTGCACCACTCCCCTCTTCCATAGCTGTTAGAAAGATAAACCATAGCAGAAAGAAAAGTAAAAAAAGGTTTTTATTGCAGTGCTGAAAGCTGCTTTATGAAAGCCAGTATGGTGCAGTGGTTTGAGTGATGGACTGTGGCCAGGGTTTAAATCTCTGCTCAGACATGGAACCCACTGGGTGATCTTGGGCAATTCATACTCTATGAAGGTAAAGGCAAATCCCCTCGGAACAAATCTTGCCAATAGAATCCCATGATAGGCTTGCCATAACATTGCCATAAGTTAGAAATGACTTGAAGGCAGTGGCATCACTAGGGACCTTATCACACGGGGGTCTGAAGCAGTGCCATCC